TTACCTTGGAAAGGCTCTCAAATTTATTCTTCTGCAAGATTAATGTCTCCAGTTGAATTAATTTGTCACATTTTTGAAAAAGAAGATCTGTTAAATCATTCTTTAAAAAATTTAAGTATCTAAAGGGACTGTCAGACGAAGGACACAGCATATGTATCATCTCTGATTCTGCTATTGTCAAGGCTGCAATATTCATGTTTGCAAATAATTTGTATAGGTCATCCTGTGAGAAGTACAGAGTTGTGATTAAAACTTTCTTCACTGTCAATGCTTTTAAAGAGGTACCTGAATAGTCAAAGTCATAGCTTTCAATGTCCGACAATTGTGTTACACTGTTAATATTGCAGTATTCAATGGATGAGTTCCATACAGTCTGAAAAATTTCAATAAGATTCTTCCAGTCCACTGACACATTTGTCAGTGTCAGATTTTGTAACCTGGAGCCTTGTTTGAAATCAGATAATAAAGCTACTAATTTTTTTACATTGTCATTTGTGATTTCTGACAATGACAGGCTTTCTGTAGTATTTTGTATCACAACCCAGTCAAAATTAGCTTTGGACTGATGACTGTTTGTATACAGGAGTGGTAGGCTCTTGATTTTTTTGTCAGAACCATCTTCTGGAAAATCGTTAGAAACAGATGTAAAGAGTTCATTTTCCACAGACAGGCTGATATGGTTCCAAAAAGTTAAGGCAAACAGACACTTGTAAAGAAAAAAGTTTCTGATCATATTTTTTGTCATATTGGTTTCTGTTTCCTTGGAGATGCTCAATACTTTTCTTATCTGTCCATCTTTGTTCTAATCCTGTAGCAAAACAAGCAAATAAAAACAAAAACCAGATTGTATCATTAAGTGGCTATGCAGGAGCCATCAGAGAGATTGATTTTTTTAAGGTTCCAATTTCTCATCTCTCCCTTTGACTCAAAAAGCAATGACGGCGCCTACTATCATTCAGGAGAGGCATTCTTTATTAAGAGAACACTGAAATTTCTATTTGGTAAATATGTTGTATTTAATATATAATGAGCCTGTTTCTTATAAAACATGTCTGATTTCATAGGAGACTAGTATTTGCTGTTTACCTACATACTTACTGCTGTGATTCAATGTATTATGAAGGCTTCCCACAACTGTATAATATACTTTGATCAGAAAGTACAATATTTGAGGTCAGTATGGTCATCCTTTCGTCAGATTCTCTCTTGAAGGATATGAACTAGACTCGAGACATTTTTTTAAATGGACTTGTGACTATGAAACCTGGACCGAAACATGATTTCTAGGGATTCTACAATGAGACAGTAATAGCTGTCACTTATTGGACTAAAGCTACAACCTCGAGGACTACATCCTCTGTACCATTAACCATTCCACAAGCTTTCTTAGAATTACATTATTGGGTCTAAAATGTACATTCTCCTTGATCTAACACAACCTGTATTATGAAATCTCAACAGTACAACACAAAACAGACAGTCCACTTGTTGTCCGAAAAGCAGACTCGTGCCTGGCGTGCAAGTAACCAATTCCACATGCTCAGGAGAGATATTGTTTTACTCAGGCCTGGGTGCTTGGTGGATTTGCCACAAATCAAGCACACCTGGTCTAATCACCTTGCTGTTTATAGCCATGCTTCTCATACATATTTTAAATTTCTCTTTTACATATTCATTAAATTTCCAGGAATTAATTATAATATTACATCATCCTAGACACATGCGCACTAAAGCCTTTAGGGTCTTCTTGAGGGTCTCAGGTGGTCTCTGGTGGTCAGCAGGGTAGTGAACTCTTCGTGAACTTGTTTCTTTCTTTCCTCATAAGGTCGAGGTCTGTCTCCGAGCCACGTCTGGACCACGTTTGTTTATGGCTCTCATTTCCAAGGTTAATCTTCACTAGAATCTAACCATGCTTCTAGGATACATAGTTTATACTAGTTACAATTCCACACACTTATAAACACAACACCTGTTAGTTACCTAACTTCTAAGCAACAAATCTTCATTGTTTAAAATTACAAAAGCGAGCAATATAAAATAATAGGTACTGTAACAAACTGTATCTACTACATCACACTGCGTTCTTCTTTTGTAAAGAATGCATGAAACTAGGCTTGGAAATCATCTAGAAATAGTGGGGCAATATGGCAAAACTTTTCCAGCCTTTTTCCAGATTTTCATTTGGAAAAATTATACGCAGTTTTACCATCATAGCCCTCAAATGCATTTGGGCATGTGCAGAGAACAAAAGTCAATCAGCATCCTCTATCCTGTTCTTCCAATTGTTTGGGAAACACTACTAATGTGTATATAATCAAACAAAATATGTAGCTTCAAGAGAAACCTGAAAAACAACTCTACCTTCAAATCATTATTTCTTCTTAGGACAAAATTTCAGCAATATCCAGGGACTAGGTGAAAGAAGGATATGATTCTTCCACGTGCTTAATTTTCTCTCTCATTCCTATATGTTGGCATTCAGTCAAATTATTTACGAGTACCTTCAAACTTTAGAATATCCTATGAAGCAACGAAATTAACAACTGTTATAACACATGACCCGTGATTTAGGGACTAACGCTGGAGAAATTATCCTTTATAGACATATCCCTTTTAATTCAGAAGTATCCTCAAGTCTTCAAACTTGACAAAAAGAGCATTATCGAGATATAAGCAAAGAAGCAACCAGTAGGGTAAGCAAATCAACATCATAGAGAGAAATTGTCCTGTTGTTCAAAGAGCGACAGAAGAGATCAAAATTGAGGTTTTAAGAGTTTTTCCAATATAAACTCGGTAAAAACTGACTAAGCTTTCATATAAGAAATGTACAGAATGCATTGAGCTATGATGGTTCAGTATTAAGGCACGCGCTTCGCAACTTACCGGCATGATACAAAACTCGAATGTTAAAAATATGTCTTTCACATGGATGGAATATATCATCAAGTTAGACCCATTCCTGAACTGTAGAAAAACTATTTCCGTTAAATCACTGTGACCCCCTTAACTATGGGTGTAGTGCTAATACAAAGAGACTGCTATTTGGCCAGCTTCTTTAGACAAATTTACTGAACATAAGCAACTTTACTCTCATTTCTTACCCATACACTTGAAAGTACATCATACACTTGCTAATAATGCTCTACGGAAAACATGTCTCATTTTCAAGTAAGATGCAGAATATAAAACGGTTTTAGCTAACTAGCAACCACATAAAATCAATAAAATGAAAAGTTTCTCACCAGAAATCCCTGCTCTCCGAAAAAGCAGAAAATGTACTCAGGAAAAGACAAAAAGAAAACTTCCTGTAACTCTATCCTACTGTGTAACAATACTTAGGAACGCCCAAACTTTTTGTATAAATGTTTGTGCCATCTACTGACAGCTTATGAAATGGCATTTGCTTTCCTCCAGATGTATTTTTCACACACAACATTACTGTAATTTCCCCATTATTTATTATTGAACTATGTGTTTTCATGCTTTGCAATAGATTAAGCAGGGAAAAAAAGTTAATCTTTTTACCAACTTTCTGTCTTCATCAAATTAATATGAAAATAAGTACTTCTTTTGAGCAAGTTTTACACTGAAATTCAAACACCTTCCTCTCTGAACTTAATAATGATCTGTCTATATGCATTATTTTGATTAATTTTTTTCCATTTAGCTATACCAATTTACTTGTCAAGTTCTTATCAAGGCTGGTTTATAAAAGTACTGTTTGTCTTAGTTTAATTTCCATTTAATGGGAATGGAAAAATAATCTCTCTCTCCTGCTCCAGCAGTGTGTGATTGGGTTAAATAGTGGACATGGAAACAGTGGGTAGGATTTTTTTTTTTTTTTTTTAATTAAAACAGAGCAGCAACTTTGGTACTGAATGCCCAAACACTTGGGTTATTGTCCTGGCAAAGACATAAAACAGTCTCTCTTTATTTCCGTATAATGTTGGTCAGAAATTCCATCTTAGCTGAATCTAAATACAGAACTGCCACACCACAACCTGCCTTTCTGGGTTAGCATACCATAACGCATTCATGATTTAACATTTCAGTGATTCAGGAAGCAAAGGAAATAATCTGAAAAATTACTTTTTCACTTTCAAGCTTGTTCTGTACATCGTATTTCATTTCTCAGCTTCAAGTGAAAAAAGGTCATCCAAAAAAGGAAGGGAAAGATAGGACAGGTAGTAAGCGACAGAATATGGACAATTCATATTCTCTGCTGTTATGCTGATGAGCCTTATGGTGGTACTCTTATGTTCCATTTCTGTCAATACAGATGAAAGTAGTCACATCTGGTTTCCAAATGACACCTTATAATGTTGTTGCATACAAACCTCACCATTGTCTGCCCTTAGCTGGAAAGATTTTGCTACCCATCCTTAGGATGCAATAAAACCCTAAGGTAAGACATTGCTTCTACCAAACATTCATTCCTGTTTTGGAATATAACAGTTTAACTGCTTGAATATAACCTACCTGTTACTCTAATGAATACAGAACCAGACGTACGTTTGGTTAACATGTAATAACTGCCATAAATTAGAGACTCTTATTTGAGAGTATCTCTTCAATTAAGCAACAGTATGAGCTGGCCACTGGCATAGTTTGAGTTCTCCAGTTCTGTCTATGTACTATAAAGATAGATAAAGCACATGTTAAACAGCAAAATAAGCATATTACCATTAATTGCATGCCATTAGCCCTCACATTTACCACTCAGATTTACCAGTGCAATCACTGGAAGAAAATGAATATGTTCCTCAAACGTTATGCATACTTCTGTGTTTTGTTAAAGTTAAATGTAGTTGTTTCCTTCCATCTTTTCTGTATATTTATCTGTTTATGAAAAGGCAAGTATCTTTTCTGACACCACCCCCCCCCCCATTAGGAAGATAATGACACTCAACAATAACAAGTTTGTAATAACAAACTTCAGTGAAATCTAAGATGAGGAGAAGTGTTCAATCTCTATTGCTCATTTGTTCCAAACCCATTTGCAATATTACCATAGTGGGAAAATACAAGTGAAATTAATTACTGAAAACTGAAAGGGAGAGAAAATTAGAAAATTCAAGCGCTAAATTCAAGAAAGTAATTCAGGAACTTAGGAAACTAATATCTCCTTTTATCCCAATAGACAGACATACACATTTACGCACTTACAACGTTAATTTCATTCTGAAGTAATAACTTTATATTACAATAGTGATTAATACTGTCTTGCTGTTCTAAAACATGCATGCCCTTGTACAGAATCTGCAAAACTGACAGTGTAAGATCCACTTTACAGTCAAAATTACCATCCATGATGGGGAAAAACAATCTCCAGCTATTGAGCTTCATCTGTTTTGATTCCTCCTAAGACACTGCCCTTACTCTTCCACAAGTTCCACTGAAAAGCAAAGGGAAATCCTTAGGGCCACTCTAGATTTCATTTTCAATAAATACATCTAAACATTAATAAATTAACCTAAGAGCTGCTAGAACTACCAGTATGCCCTGATAATTAAATTCTGATTGAAACACCTTCAAAATAAACTTCTTATTTAGTGATACAAACATTTGTTCTGCTACCACCTACCTTAATGGGAAACTTCAGAGACTTTTTCCTGGTAAGTGTGTAAGTCACGTAGTGTGATCCATATTTGTGAAGCATGCTTCTGAAAACTGGGGCTTTATGTTGTGACCTCCTATAGCAGCTCTCCTCAGCGATTCATGTATTATGTAACATGTTAGTTTGCTTCCTATGGCAACAGTAAGTATTTCTTTCTTCAGCAAAAGAAGACTAGTGATAGAAAGGATGCTATGGTGAATTGTGGAACTGCCTTTTATCACAGTAAAAGGGCATGCTTCGCCTTAAAATGAAGTGGCAAAAAGAGGAAAGGGTATGAGGAATTAGAGACAAGAACCACAGGTTGTTGGGCAAGGGCCTGCAATCCCCTTGTTCAACCAAGTATTTCTTGTGTGGCTGCAGGCGCCCAGTGCTGACATTAAGTTACTGGAAATGTGTGTACGCACCTCCCAGTTTCTTTTAGCTGCATTTCCTGTAAACACAGATATAACGAAGGTGCAAAGTGGCATCTGAAAAGCTAAATCTCAGTTAATTCCGCAGCCACGCACTTCAGTAGGCGGTTAGCTGCAACTTGCTTTGACGGAGGACTAAACATTCTACAAAAAAAAAAAAAAAAAATTGACGCCAGCTCAGTGACTGGACTCATTTATACTTAAAATGCCTCAGTATAAACGTTATCACACCAGCGTTGTGAAATTTACCCCTTTTGCGTCCTCAGCGAGGATGCGAGGGGCGTCCGGCCCTGCTCCGCCCGCGCCCCTGTCTTGGCCGGCGCTTCCGGCGGGGTCCCCAGCGCGGGGCCTGCCTCCCCCACCGGGAGA